ATGCATTTTATGTCCTGTCGCCTCATCGGTTTCCGAAACAGTTTCGCAAAACTTGACGGTCCGAGAACCACACTGCGTAGACACATTGCCACCGCGTTTTTTTACGTGGTGTTACTTCCGGGCCACTTTCGGGCCGATTGACGTCACTCGTCGCGGTTTGACCTCGACCTCGGCGATGGGGGGAGGGAGAGCAGATAAGCACTCAGGGAGACCGAGATGTGCGTGCTTCTGCTCTAGACGACAGGAGCCCATACACAAAACCAATGCATTCCCGAGCCAACACGTTTTCGCCTTTCATACAGAAATATGGAAAGTTAAGATGAATAAGTAGATGCATGATAGATAAGATGGAATGTGGACATACAAAGCAGGTCGATAAGGAGACACATTAGGATCTTCTTAAAAAGCGACAGACACAGGATTTTTTATGCATTCATTTTTCTTGCGATCCTCCCGAGTAAAAAAGCTTAAGCGACTTTGTGCCGTGCTTTTCATTAAAAATGCTCCACATTCATACCACTGCAAGGCGTGAAGATGGGGATAACCTCAGCAAAATGCACGTGAGCCATTCTATCGTTTATTTTCGTAAATGTCTAGGGTGCCGAGGGAAAATGTTATATCATAAGAAGCAAAGTGAGCACGCTCCTTGCCTGAAATCAGCCTAAAACGATACCAGCTCCGTCGGACAGTTTGCGGTAGATTTTTCGAAATAGATTAGATTTTTCGAAATAAAAAAATGTCTGACCGAGATCTGTTCGCTGCTTAGAAGTGTTTGTGATTGCAAACGCACCTTCCTGTTTCTGGTAGCTTTTATGGCAGCAAGATGCCCCCTCACGCCCAATCGAGATGGCTATCGATGTTGCCCGAATGCCGCCCGGGAATAATGGCGGTAGAAGAAGCTGATGAAGATGTGCTTTCTGCTTCATCGACGCCCGTTGATTCGTCGCTTAAAAGGAGTTTGGATTTGAGGCCAAAGGCTCGAAAAATATAAGGGGTTTGGAAAACAAGTTTTCTTGGGGGAGAACAAAACGTTTTTATGGTTGAAGTGTGTGCTGAAGTGCAAGCGTGCGTGGAGTATAACACGAGTTAAAATTGGTGATTCAAGTTAAAGCTAACGCAGTGGATCAAATTCAACATTATAACCATAGCAACATGACTTGACAATATACAGAGCGTGTCTGTGTGCTTAACTCACCAGAAAGATGATGTCGAATTCATCTCTGGTGCAATCAATTCCTAAAACAACAGCACAAAGTTTTCTAGGGCAAGAAGGTGCAATTTTTCCCGAAATGGCTTTTCTTGAACTGTAAGATCTTCCGCTGCGAAAAAATAACTGTACAAAAAAATAGCCAGAGTTGTCTTGGTATCTTAAAACAGCGCCAAAAACAGGCACACGTGTCATTTCTACGGCTTCCTCAGTGCCGGTTTTATAAAACTTAAACACATTTCTCAAGCTATCATACGTGTGTTTATGTCCAGAAAAAGGCTATGGAAGAGAAATCTCGGCTCCGAACAATCATGTGCAACAGCATGTGTTATAGGACCAATACACGAGCGATTAGATATCACAGATTACAAGTGATCAGCGTACACCACAAGCAAACGAAATATGGGGCAGAGATACCACAAAGGGGGAATCTAGTACGTGGGGCGGGGGGGAGGGGGACCAGCTGTCACGACGGTGCTTATGTCTCCAGGGTTAGCTTGTGCCGACGAATAGCCGTTGATTCAGCAAATTGCCGGGGAGTGATATATTTGCAAGTGCGCAACATTTTGAGGGTGAGCTTTTCTGGTGGCATGGGATCGGTGGGCTGCTTTTTTAGTATGTGATGGCAAAGAGGAGTTCTAAATGCTTTATTCTCCGTGTCCCAGATACGTTCATTATGTCTCGTTCACACATGACACGTTGTCTCACCAATGTAGAAGGATTGTCTTTCAAGGCTGAGTTCCCCATTAACAAAGTGACTATTCTATGACGTCACAAGTGTTTACGCCATACGCAAGCAACTACACTCCAAGTCGTAAAAACCGTTGTCACGAGCTGACCAGCGACATCATATATTAGAGCTTGCTGAAGGCGTTTGACAATAGGGAACGCGGCAAAGAGGTACGCGGCAAAGAGGACGACGTATCTCCTAGATGACGTTGCGCGTCGTACACCTGCCCTCCCCACCCGCCTGACAGGTGCTGCACGCACAGTTACCTGTGGGTCGTGTGTGAGAGCCAGGGGAAAAAGGATCAGTCGGTCTTTAACCGTCTGTTCAGTTTTGTGTGCCACTCGAAGGGGATGCAGAATGGACGTGTCTTTGAGTTTACTATTTTAGTTATGTTGATCTCTGCGAATGGAGAGAGAGAGAGAGAGAGAGAGAGAGAGGAGAGAGAGAGAGAAAGAGAGGGAGCGAGAGAGAGAGAGAGATAGTGAGAGAGAAGAGAGAGAGAGAGAGAGAGAGAGAGAGAGAGAGAGAGAGGAGAGAGAGAGAGGAGGAGAGGAGAGAGAGGAGAGAGAGAGAGAGAGAGAGAGAGGAGATGTATATATATATATACATATATATATTACGCATGTTTTATGTACATATGCACATGTTGATATGCCTATGTTTTATCACTCGGTGGATGGGAGATGTTGTTTCCATTTCTCGCGCGAGTCTGATGCATCGCGCATTTTATCACGCGCAGTGCAGTCATTTTAGGTGAAGATGCTTCCCACCTTTATCATCCCTTGTTGCACCGCCGTAGCATCTGAAACGAGACATCTCGCTGGCAGGATTGTGAGTGGAGCACTGGGCTCCACTCTGACACTGAGAAAGAGAAAAGCCGACGGGAAGCAACCCGTAAAGGGAAGCCTGTTGGTTGTTGTTGGTGAAGTTGTTGTGCGTCCTGTTTGGGGCTTAGTTTCAGACATCATAATACTTGTGATAACTGCCAGTTGCGCCTGGACTGAACTCGAACTTGGAATGCAAGCTTTGTGAACTTCAGCCTCAACAATGCGGTCAATTAAATTAAGAAATAATTTGCCGATCAGTGTCAGTGATACTCGCCTCTAGAATCAAAGTATTCGGTGAGAGTAAAGCAGCTCTAATTGGGGTGACAAGTGATTTTCAGAATCAGTTACATAGCTCTTAGCAAAACACCGCCGCCAATTTTAAAGGCTGAAATATTCAACACCGGCCAGTTTACTTTTTGCGGTATAATTAATTTTGATGTCAGCAGAATAAAATATATGATGCTCAACAAGAACTCCTGTAATCAGCAGTCACTCCCGATACTCTAATAAATATATCATAGACTCGCTGTCGTACTTTTGTCACTGCTATATGACACCACTGGCGGCTGATCCAGCGACGGGCCGGAACCGTCCGGAACCTTATCCAGTCCTTCCGGGAGAGGAGCAAAAACACAACCTTGGCCCACACAGCCAATCGCGGACACCCTTGGCAGCGCAACCAGCCTCCGACATCCGCTTGGAAAGCGGCGTGCCGTGTTTTTTTATTCTTTTTTTAAGCGTTTTTATGCGAGTGGTCGTTAGTGCTGGAGCTCATGGCATTGAAGCAGGGATGAAAATTTGTGCCAACGCATTGCACGCATTCGTCGCACGCCGTGCTTACGAAGCGGAGTGTAACATCTCACATTTATTGTCCCTGGAAATTTCAGTTCTTTTTGAGTTTTTTGCTCAAATAGTAATCCCGGTCCAATTTTAATGCCCACACCTTGCTTCTATTGCACGCCATCTTTTCTTTAGTACACAAGATACCTTGTTCACACTGCGATTATATGATCTAGGCATACAGCGAACAAGTAGCTTGACCCAAACATGTAAGAGAGTAGGTGATGGACTAAACCATGATGAGCGATTTTTCTGTCGCAGCATGGAGCTATCAACGACGCATCGCTGATTCAATGGTGATCATTGCAAACAGGGCCAGCGGTAACCCTGTATGCATTTGCCACACAGCGGCAGGTCTAACGTTAACTCAAAGCACAAAACGTCATACCTCCAAGTCATGCGTGTCGTTTTCTTGAGCATAGCTGCACAACATTTTCGCTGTTGGGATATAGTGGAGCATCAGTCCCCATCCTGCTTTGAGGGGAGGGGACTGACCGACTGAAGGCATTTTTAAAGGCAAGTAAAGCATGTCTCATAACCGCTAAGACGCATCAGCTCAATTCTTCGCTGACGATGTGTTCCAGCTTCATCTTTGACCAATAAAACAAAGTCAGAAAGTAGCTTAAGGATTGAAAATGAAGCGGCAGACAAAACCATCACCTTACATGTTGGACAGACACCGTTTGCCGCAAATCAAATGCTATCGGCATCACACCGACCGGCATCACAGCGCACCGACAAAGACACCTTTTTGAGCGATGAGAATAGACACGGTACACTTCTTTCAATTAAGCTTTCTTGCTATTCTAAGGCCGTATCAGGAGCCACTCAAAGTGTTGCCATTCAAAAGTTAAACAGCACTGATAACAAATCGTCTCCCTCAGTTTTCAAGCGAGCATTTGCTTCTGCGAGCGCCAGCCCAGCTCATAAAAAAGTCAATGGAGTATTCATTCACTCGTTTTTCCGTCAGTTGAAGGCCTGGTGCTGCCGATGACCCAGCGAAATTGGTTCGTGCAAACTTACAATTCAAGCAGTTCATACAAGTTAGCAGTTTCAGCAATCCATGCAAACTAGCAATTCAAGCGATGCATGCAAACTGGGATGACCCATTCCCCACCCCATAGAATAGAGGTTGCAATCACAAACATGACGCCATTCTAGCTCATGCAAGCTGTCCTGACTCCCCCACTGCACAAGGCACCCATCACCTAAAAACTGATCATTCATCTCCCCCTCAAAACAGAGCCTGGCTCCGCCGCTGCGCACGCCGCCGCATCACACACAAAAACAAGACCAGCCATCTCCCCGCAGCAGGGAGCCTGGCTGCGCCGCTGCGCACGCGAACAACGCATAAATTGGGACAACGCACTGTGCCGACGATGTGGCGTAGAAACGGCGGGAGCGGGGGTGCGGGAGCACGTCAAGCCAAGCCAAGCGGCTCGGACCGGGTCGCCGCGGCGCAGCTGTGGGTCCTCACCAGACAGCCGCTTGTTCGCCAGACAGCCGCTTGGCGCTTCCGCACGTTGATATGTAAGTTGTCGGCCAGTCGGTTTGAAGTTAGACACGTGCGAATTTTTTTTCGTGTTTGTGTAAGGAACGTGCTCGATCTGTGTGCTGAGCTTACGCTTATGCTTTGAGTGCTATAATAATGATGCATAAGGGACGATGTTTTACTTCGTTAGGTGATCGACTCATGCTTAAAGATATGTTTTTGTGTGAATAATGATTCTATTAATATTGATGTATTTTTTGTGCAGGCATTCGAGTGGAAAGCATCGCCCATTCGAGAGATGTCGTAGGATCTAGAGATGTTGCGGCACTCATAGAAAACTCAGTTCTAGAATCGTCGGGTAGGCCCGTCTAGTCCAGCGCGTGTTCCATTCTAGTCACGACGGTTAGTTCCCGACTCCGCCACCGACATAGAGTCAGCAACTCTCTGAGCATGGTTTTTAGCACGTTTTTGTCGTTTAGTTGGGTCCACCCAAGTCTGGAAAGTGACCACCATCTGGCTGCCAGCCTGACGTGTTATCTTGCGAACCATGGTCAAACGGAAAACTTTCCTTTTCAATTTCCCGTATTACATAATAGCGGGAAATAAAAATTTGTAAAATTAAAATGGGTTATATTGATACTTCACTTTTTGTTACCTTTTATACAGATATTGTACTTTTCCCATTATCAGAACACAAAACCCTTTACGATCATAATAACTTTTAACGTGTTACTTGTTCAAGGCGTGACTTCCTAGCATGGTAGTGGGAAAGTGCATTCAAATACTCCCTCTCTCCCATAATATGTACCAAGAGCATCATTTGCTGTATGCCTGGCTCCACGCCTTTTTGTTTTTCAGAGTATTGTTTGAGAGAATGCCAGTCTACGGGATCGTTGAAACATTGGAAAGCTGTCGGGAATGCACCGACCCCTTTTATGGCTTAAGTTGTGATAACATCTCTTTCATTTGCAGCCTCATGAGGTTTTTTGCGATTGTCGCCAATATCTTTTCCCTCAATAATATAAGCTGTTAGGTGCAATTACGAAGAACATTATGCGTATACATAAGACGGTAGTAAAGCCTTATTTCTCGCAGAAAAACAAGAAGAATGAAGAGATAGATGGGTTGATATTTCGGCAACATGCCTTTTCCGAAACCAGTCACTGATATTCGTTTCGATAAAGTTATGTTGCCGAAATTACGTAAGCTGTTCAGCGCATTAGCGAGAAACATTATTCACATAGATAAGACAGTAGTAATAGCCTTATTGGTCAGAAAACCAGGAGAATGGAGATATAGTTAGGTTGATACTTCGGCAACATGCCGTTCTCGGAAACTTCTGCTCTTGTTTTGAGAAAGGCATGTTGCCGAAATATCAACCTAACTATATCACAATTTTCCTGTTTTTTTCCGAGGAATAAGTCTAATACTACTGCCTTATGTCTGTTGCCGAAATGTCAAAGCATGTTCTTCTCCATCTCCTGGTTTTTCAACGAGGAATAAGGCTTTTAGATTTATTTTCCCGACTTTTCATTGTGTTGTTGACAAAACTTGTCTTGTTATTGCCTGACCTTAGACAAATGCATGACGGTTGTACTAGTCACGCGAAGTAAGCCTTCAATAGGACTCCCAGCATCTGTTTAATGCTTTGCTTCCGTGCTGAGCATTGTGCAAGACGAGACCAGATGGTCATGAAGAGCTCAGCCAGCCCAGATAGTCCAGACAGTCCTGAAGAACCCAGGAAGCCCAGACAGTCCAGACAGTCACGAAGAGCCCAGACGGCCCAGACAGTCCATACAGTCATGAAGAGTCCAGACAGCCCAGAACAGTCCAGACAGTCACGAAGAGCCCAGACAGCCCACACGGTCCAGACAGTCATGAAGAGCCCAGACAGCTCAGACAGCAATGAAGAATGATGTCTGGGGTCTGCTAGAAATATAAACAGTTCAACAACGGGCAAACACGGATCGCATTTGCAGGGTTGGCGCGCGTGGACCATCGTTTAAGACTTTCGTCGCATTGATAAATGATTTAGTTCAGCATCATCATCATCATCGGCCGATTCCGACCGGTGCGCTCTTGAGAAACCAATACTGTTAGAGCTGCCGATCACAGCTCTGTTGAGTTTTCAGGAAAAGGTGACGTAAATCTTAGCAAATGTGCTGCAATAATTATATTTCATAACACTTTTGTCATGTAATAAACATTATATTTGGGTAGCAATAATTCACCAAGGCCCATTGCACAAAAATTGCTTGGTGTGAGCGGTTTTATCAAGCCTGGTTGTCTTGCAACGTTGCAAAATGACATAAGTGTGAAATTGACTTTGTTAAATATTGGCACGACAGTCTCCCAGCGTCAATGTCTCTGGGCCTAACTCAAATCCAAGCTTCGGCTAACCGTGGTGGTATGACCACGGGATCATTCCATCTTGGCTGAGCAGAAAAGAAGCGATGAGATCCCACAAATGCACGTCGTTGAGTGCAGCATTTCACGCGCCACCCAAAGTGCAGACCATGAACCCACCATTTTGTTGTTTTTTGGGGGAGGGGAATTCAAGGTTCGCGGCGTCCGATCACGCAGCCAGAGCAGATACGGAACTTCGAACTGTAAACGATAGTGACAAAGCTCCTGATTTGGCGCGTTTGGCGCGTTTTGGCGCGTTTAGCGAGTTCTTCACGTGTATTTGCAGCACTGCGTCTTTTGTGTGTGACACTGAATTTTTAAACGCAATTTTCTTTGCCCACAAGAGCTTTTCTTGAGGTGGCCATGCGTGAAAAGAAGTTTGTTTCCAACGGTGTGACACCTCTCGGGGTGAATGCAAGCTTTCTAAAAAAAATTTATCTACATTGTACGCCAGCAATCAACGAGAGCACATGTTAAATCATTTGAGCTATCTTTCAATCGTGTCAAGAACTCTACAATATTTTTAAAGCATTAGACCTGCATTGAGGAAGTTTTCACCTTTGCCCTTCGAGGGGAGGGCACACAATCCCCCCTGACATATCAAAAGTAAGCCAACAGGGGCCGCTCAGAACACGACATTGTAAAGATCTTGCCGAATTTCACTGGGATGTGCGTTTAAACTACTGGAAATATTCCAAAATGAGACTGGATTAGCACTCTCCTACCACTAAGTTAGAATATCCCTTCTAACTCAACAACTTAGCATGCTACGACAATGACAAGACACTGTCGAATAGCTCATCAAAACGCTTTCAGATAGGCACTAGTGGACATTGACAGATATATCCTGCGATAATGTCACGTCAGGTCAAGGAGATCAAGGTGATCATTGCATTGGTCCGACCGGCTATATCGCGAATTTAACAAGCCATGTCAATTGGGGAGCCTGGTCATAAAACTCGTTCAAGACATAAGGCATGTGTCATTAAGTCTTAAATCGTATGCTCTCCAAACAGCTAAACCTGCTCACGAGGAACAAAGTTTGACCTAGCCTCACCCTTAACGCTCTAACACCACTCGAGCCACCAGGACGGTAGCGATACGCTTCATAATGTTTTAGAAGAAAAAAGTAGTTTAAGAAAGATCTTTTGGAGTGCATTTCCTGCGAAAAGTGGGCATTGTATGTCACTTTCCAGCCTATGTCACCGAAAAGACCTTGTGAAAAGCGTTATAGAACATAAACTGTCGGTCTCAAAGGACCTTTTCATCTCCACAGGATGTGCAATAATGATGTAAGCTCAGGTACCCCAAATTTCACTGCTCAGAAGTTATTTCGGAAAGCCTTACAAGTGGCCCGCACGCCTTCCCGGCCCCCTCGTAGGAAGGGTTAAGTATTTGCGAGGCTTGGAGCCCGCGCTCAGTGTCGGGCCTTGGCAAAGTTCTTTTATATTCGGAGCGTGCTTCCCTGGGGGCTCCCTCAGCGGATGGATTCCGCATGAATGACGAGGACATGGCATATTCTCATCATCCGTCCGTAAATACGATAGCGTGCACTCCCTTGAAATATAATAGCTTTCATTGCATTGCCTCTGACAGACTCACATCACCGACAGTTTGCAATGTTGAAAAGGCGCTAAACTTACGTTTTCTGTTATGCTGAATGCTACAGTAGCCACTTAAATCGCGTGGCAAGTGCCCGTCAAAAATTTGCGAAAAAAATATGGCGGCTTGAGGCGCATTACAAAACGGTTATTGTACATTCAAATGAAACGAGTATATCAAACATGCCATTCACGCCCCGTATTGTGCATCATACGTAGGGTCGCTCATTAATATGCGGTTGGGTGAAAGAATTGTCGTAAGCGCCTTCAGCCGGCATTTTATATAGTTGGGTTGATATTTCGGCGACAAGCCTTTATCGAAACAATAGCAACAGTGAAGTCGAAGTTGTCTGCCGATGATCCTACTCAATTCTTCAGGTTTTTTTGAAACAGCAGACCACAGTGTTTACAGGACACCAACATTCAGGGGATGAAACAAAGACCGATTGCCAGCCATTACCACGATACAGTGCCTGTCTGAGAATTAGCATACGCGAACATACGGATTGCCTTAGGCGATTTGTGAAAATATTAAGAGTGATAACAATCTTATTTGAAACCCCGACGAGATGGCATTATATTACCACGATAACGGCTCTTATCACGGTCATAAGATTTCCTCAGAATGCAACAGGGAAGACCCAATTGTTATTTTAAATTATTACTGTGCATTGCCACACAATTTGAAACTTTTACTTTCCGTAAGGCAGAAATTCTTTTTCTAAGGCGGGAAGTGAAACTTTCACTTTCACGTTCCGTGAGGCGAAAATTTGTTTGGTTCACCATGTTCATGCAAATATGACCATGTCTTTCGTCGACTCGCTGGTATACCGCCCAAAAAGGTGCATCACTGGCGTGAGTGTTCAGTTTTCCATTTCTTGGCCATTCGGAACTCGCACGCAGCTTAGTTGCGCCAGCAGCCAGTTCCATAATACGAAGCGGTAAATTTTGTCCGTTGAAAATTTACTCAGGGTAAGCACATGGGAAAGAAATGTGCCTCTTCATCTGATATTTTGATTTTTGGCTGCTAAGGGATAGCGCAAGTCTACAAAACCAGGTATTTCTTCACAGCTCTTCACAGTCCTTAGTACAATCTGAAAGGTGTAAAATCACAGTTTCACTTTTTCCAACACACTACTAGATTTTGTGATGGAAAACAGCCGCAAAACAAAGGTTAATTGGAAAATTGCACTGTTATTGTAAGCATTTGCGCACATGTCCATGCTTGCAGTAGCGAATCAATATTTCAACATAATACAAACGTTACGTTTCACCAAAGGAATCCATTCCTCATCTAGAACAGATGAATTTCTATAAAGCCCATAGCATGTTAAAATTGCAACACATTCATGCCCCACGACCCATGCGACGACCCATACCGTTCTCCGGGCAGGGGCTTACCATCAACGCCTGAATCAACGCCCATTCCACCGCCCGCAGAGTCCGCTCCAAAATGTGGACAACCCCCGCCATCGTCTGCGGCGTCTGCCTGGCGTTAGTGACGTCCTCCCCGGCCATCGACGACGCCGCCCCCGATAACTACGTCTACGACTATGACGACTACGCCGACTACGGCCCGACCAAGGAATCGCTGCCGTTCACTATCTTCGACGACGTAAAGCCGCGTCCGCCTGCGCCTGACGTCAAGCTGCCGTCAGCCTGCGCCTGGGCTGTGGTCCAGTGCTGCGCCAACCCTGACGCCATGGTGAGGCTGAGGCCAGGGGCGCGCCCAGGCTGGCAGAGGGATGGGGTGCTGAGGGCAGAGGCACGGCCAGGGTTGCAGGGGAGAGGGTTTTGAGTGCAAGGTGCACCCACGGTGGCAGGGGAGGGGGCAGGGGCAGAGGGGGCAGAGGCACACTTAAGGTTGCAGGGGGGGGGGGAGGAGGGGTGGGGGCAGAGGTACACCCGGCGTGGCAGGGGATGGGGCGCTGACCGGAAGTGCACGGGAAGGGGTTATTCAACAGTCTCCTAGTTATTCAAATTTCATTAGACCATGTGTCTCCTCTTAAAGCCAACCGTAACAGCAACAGGAGAGGGGTGTCCATGATGGTGGTGTTTCGACATAAATGACGTGATAAGAAATAATTTGATGAACGCTCAAATCTCCTGTAGGTGCACATGCCTTACGCCCCTGGTTTTCTCTTTTACTGCTTTGCTTTCATGTCATTGGCTCGGGCTGCATTGACGTAGTTCTTAGCCTCAAGCAGCCTTAGACGTTGCATACGTTGATGACCAAAGGGTAGTTATTATACACACGTGTCAGACTGAAGCTCGTTTATTTAGCTTCGCTCGTACACAACTGACAGCCATGAGACCCGTAACAAATGTGAAGCCTATGAATACAGCTACTCTGATATCCAAGTGTCAATGACATTCCCACCCCACATATGTAGGGGTTGGGGGGAAGGGGGCGCGTACTGAGAACGTGTTTCTCGCTGATATATTTACATGCTTTCCATTTATCTGGAGGACTTTTGGCACGCGTCGGGTTATTCGACAACAATACGTGAATTGCGATCCCCGTCCGAGACTTACGCGCATCCCCCCTGTCTCCCCCCGAATATTAGCACCTTGCAACGCCTCTGACGGAGGGGTCCAGAGTGGCTTTATTGGTGGCGAGGTCAGCCTCAAGTGGCCAGGAGGACGCTGGTCTAAGCCAGCTGGTCTAAGCCAGCTGTGTCGCGTCTCACTCGTGTGAGGCCGCCTGGGGCTTGCGCCGACGACGTTTGTGAAGCCGTGGTGAATGTTTCACGCTATGTAGTTTAAACGTTTTGGATATTTCGGGAAACGGTTTTGCCTTCTTTCTGTGCAACACCATTGACTTGTGCTGGTTTTTGACAGTGGGACATGATGACTCTTTGGCCTCTCCCCTCCCTCTTTTATCCTCGGTTTCGTGCTCATATTTTTTACATAACAGGCTATGAGTCAGAAAAATGTCTTTGCAACGTGGGCCGAGCGAGGTCGTTGAGTACGTCATGGCGTCATGGCTTCATTGTCCATGGCGTGGGCCGAGCGAGGTCGTTGAGTACGACATGGCGTCATGGCATCGCGCCCTGGCGTCACTGCATCGCGTCATGGAGTCATTGTATCGCGTCATGACGCCACTGTGTCGCCCCATGACATCACTGTATTGTGTCATGACGTCATTGCATCGCGCCATGACGTCATTATATCGTGTCGCGACGCCACTGCATGGGGGAATCGCATGGTATGTTGTTCTAAAGGCTTAATCCCCTTTTGTTACAGGGAAGCCGAATCGGCTGTTTTTCAAACGTTGGTTGCTCCGGTGCCTGGCTACAAGACTTCTGCAAACCAGAAACCAAACAGCTAGTGCTGAAAATGGTTTTGCAATCTTTCCAGTTGACGCATAAGAAATAGGGTTGGCTATTTGGGCGCTGCAACTGTTGTTGACGCAATTCTATAATTTCATGGTCATTTGTCGCCGCGAAATGCTGGAGTTTTATGTCAAAATTGACTCAAAATCCGGCGTTTTCCGTTTGCGGTCATGACAATTTCTGCATGGTCAACACGATCACTTTTCAATCATTTCAGGCACGCTATAAGCCATTCTCGGTCAGTAAATTGTCATTCTCAGGTACATCGTGGAAACAGAACTGTCCAAATGCAACTATCTGTAAGAGAAGGTGACAATGCCTGAGAACGACTGGGAGCCTATTGATTGTGTTTTGGTCGCTTTAGATACCATATTGTTGGTAACAGTCGACTGTGTCTGAAGAACTATGAGGCACAATCCACAAACGACGGAGTCATTTCAGTTGGCTATGTGTACCGGCCATCGAGAACTGCGCCAAGAATGTGCGAATGGTAACGAATGTAAGTAAGTCGTGTGACTACGTGTGACTACTAAGCGTGTGATTCGGACACACAAGTGAGATAATGCACGGTTCGATCAGGTGAATCACCCTTAGAAGATAGATATATGAATCTGGTCAGGTTAATGCGTGTCTTAATAACGCCGACTCAAAAATTCGCAACCGTTGCGGAAGCCGCTGTGTCCATGCTAGCCTGACCAATGTGACGATACGTCTGGTGTTTTCATTCATTGTAAATATCTTCCACTGGGTGGTTCCCGGTGACCATTACACTCATGATGAATACATCGCACTCGATAAAAACTGTTTTTCTTGGTGCGGCGCGTGACGACGCAATGCCGGTGGTTAGCACTTGAAGATGCTTTCGTGACAAATTTTTACGTAGCTGTTTCCTCAGTGCCAACGAAACAACCGCCATGAAACGCTTTCTCATCACTGCGAGTCATTAAATCTTATAATGCATAGTGCAGTATAACACACAGCGAAACTATGGGTGACCGCTATGCGTAACTGCATTGCAACAGTGCACGCCGTGGGATGGCAATAAACTCTCCTCGGTTTACGATGTTCACTCAGATGACTTTTTCTACAAAGCTACTGGTGTAAGTTCAAAAAGCACTCACTTACCTCCTTGTAGCTTGGGGTCAAATTTGAGAGGAGTTTTCCTCCAAACTACCTTAATACTTAATGGCAGCCTACCAATCCTCGACGCGCGGGGGGAGGGGCGTTACGACATCACCAATATCGCATTACCGATATCATGGAAAGACGGTAAAAGTGACAATGCAAAATTGGTGTAGCTGATGGAATGTACACTTGAACGCTTTACAAAAAGGTCAGCTGGTGCGTTACCTCATGGAGCTATTATGTCGCCTCTAACGGACATCAAAGCCATTTTACTAGCATCAGCATTTTGCGGATAGTGACGATCTGGGGTTGCCTTACACACTCTGACATTTTGATAAGCATCAATCCCTTGCTAATTAAAAAGCTCGGTAAAAGTAGGCGCTTCTCTTTGATCTTGATGGCCGTCACCAACTGACGTTCGTATAAAGATGGTTCTCGATGTGTTGGCAAAAATGATTCATCACCGCACAATTCTCGACCGATGCACGTTTCGTGGAATTCGAGACCGGGCAGTACGTGAATGCTCTGAAAACGTGCGATCGTTTAAGACATGTATGCGCACCAGCATCATTTATATTGCTGTCATCGTTAGTAGGTTGTAGCCGGCATAAACCGTTTCCTTTAGCATTCTTCTCTGTAGGTCATCATCATTGTACACCGCCGATTACCTTAATGATTCTTTGAAATCAACAATCATTAGTTATATCATCATCATGTGATCATCACCACATGATCACTATCACCCAAATGTGATCGCAGATGACGTCAACGTCACTCGAATAGTCTCCTTCCACTTTCAGGACTCTGAGATCACGAACGCGACTCACAGGTCCTGACACACCAGAGGCCAGCACGTCGAGTCACCGTGCTCACCATGGCGTGGGAGGCTCAATTCAGCGAGCTACCGGGAATACATGACTATTCGCGCCACCTCGGTGCCCTCGCGACTAATTTTGGCTGTCCGCGCCTCCCACAAGGTCCTCAAGTGACTGAATTGGCGGTAGCCGGTGACTACCACTTCCGCGACGCTGTGACTGGTTGTCGTTTCTTATTTCGAGCCCCCGCGGACAGTCACGTGACATTTCGTCGGCGCATTCACGTGATCACGTGACGTTTTCGCCTGGCATAAGCCAGCGGTCACGTGACAGACTCCCAGGACGCGCTGTGGCCACGCAACAGGAGCAGGAATATCAAACGGGCGACGCGGCCTTCCCAGCCCGAGATAAGCTGAATCAAAACAGCGGGCGACGCAACAGCTGCAGAAGATTGACACCCGTGATAGGGCGGTCTTTGATTCGGCGAGGCGTTGCATTGCAAATGTCTCGCGCGTCTTGACGCTGCGGTTATGCAGCGTGACGCTCTGGGCTGTCCTCCCGCTTGTGAAGGCAGCATCAGATCGCCACGATGGCTTCGGCTCCGCTGAACGTCGGAAACCAGATTCTTGCTGCAAACTCTGAACCGACTGGTCTCTTGCGGCCGCGGCTCCGGATCGTGGGTTTTGCCGGATCCGGCCAGATCCGGCAAATCCGCCAGGATTCTGGTTTGATGTGTAGCGCACAGTACTTGTCGACTTAGGGAGTATCCCCCCCCCCCTTCTTTACACCTAAAACTCTTTAGTTTCTGACCTACACACCTGCGGAGATGTGCAGGCTCCTTCGCGCGGATTATTTCAAGATCACCCAGACACCCATGACGCAATGATAACGTCATTCAAATCCTAGCATTTCATGGGCCATGCGGCGATCAAGGCGAAAAAAAGACATCCTTGCCGATTTGTTCACATGTGACGTTCCTGAGTGCGATTTCCAGATATAATGGCCGTCAACTCTCTCAATCGATGTTGTGCAAGGTGTGGTGACGCAATCAAGCAATTAAGTATTGTGAAAAATATTAACTACGTGGGGGAAATTGTGTCGTCTAGGGCAGTCCTTTCCACTTCAAAGTATACTTATTGTCAAAAGTGAGCTTATTTCACCACACCTGATGCTTGCTTCAATATCTTCAAATTTGAAGCATTGTCTTTAACGTCTCTCGCTGGGAACGCCCTGTTAAAGTCCTGTAGACAAAAATCCAATTCTACGGATTACGCGGGACCATAGGATAGTAAAGCCGAAGTAATAATTTTCCAAGACGAACTCTATTGCCTGTGACAATGGTGCTATTTTGGATATTACGTTTCGACCGGTTTTCTTCACCCGATTATTTTTCAAACAGTATTTCACCAACAGATGCCAGTTGATCATGCGATGTGCCTGCCAATGGCTGCCTGGCAGACAATACCTACAAGGCCTCATTCATGGCATTCGAGGACGTGCGGAGGTGCTTAGGAGGTGCGGTTCGCGACTGGCTGGTTTCCGCGCTCAGTGCACCGTGAATGTCATATGAATTATATAACCATGACACCCACTCACTTCACACTCATCACACGACAGCAACTACGTATTCCAGGAGTGAGACCATCCCAAAAATGCTGAGGATGCGGGTATCATTTCTAGGTACGTTCTTTCTTTGTAACTCCGTAGGCGCACATTCCACGATAACTCGACACGTGCCTTACACCCTCTGCCCTTAAATTTTGATCGAAATGGGTCATAATGGTTGCCATCAGCGCTGAGGTCGCCTATGACATTCTTAATCTCTCATCTGCACCGTTTCGGAGTTAGAGCTTTCGGCAAGTTCGAATTGCGTGGTTGCACTGGCAATTTTTTTCTCTTTTATGGCAATTTTTTGTGGCAATTTTTCCACTCTTTTAAAGAAAGTTTGGCAAACCTATGCGTTGAAATGTTCAGCAAACTGTCCAGAATGTTTTTATGCCGCTCTTAAAATCGCCATTGCAAAATAGATAATAATCAGGACACAGTGAACTTTTTTTGCAAGGCACGAAGAACAATTATCCTATCTGATATTGACCTTTTTTCTTGCTTGCGTTTAAAAGAGCGTGGTGTGGTCCTCAAGGTCCAAAAATAAAAGGAGTGGTCCTCCGCTTGATCATTTGGGACCTTTCAGAAAACTATACTTTCGTAGTTCAAGGCGAGGTTCAGCTGTTTCACCAGAATGCAAAGCAATGCACGCCGCATCTTTTCGTGGTATATTAACTAGAACCTGGACAGCTTACGCCTACGAATTATTGCGCGCTGTCAGACACGATGAAACATAATTTGCGGTTGCGGTCCATACATTTTTTCTATTTTCTATTTCTACAGCACCTTTTACCGGAAGTGAAAAGCCCCATTTCACACATGAAAAAATGTTTTTCTTTTCAGATGGATCCGCTACGCAGTGCAACAACGGGTCCAGTTCTTTAAATACTTAGTTTCATGAGGGGAACTTAAGCGCGAAGTGCAAGTGTCATAACGTCGCCATATCCTATAGGAAGAGCCCTTTCCACACGGTTGGGGACCTTGAAAAGGGTTTGCTGCCGGTGTCAGCCTGTCGCGCTTCCATTCAAATTATCTTCTCTCTGCTGAGAAGCTATGCCAGCTGTTGCAGAGCAAGGCTAATGTGCAGACAGTACGTTTCCGCGTACCGAAAGGAGCAGTCCTTCGCGAAGAGAATGACCTCAGCACCAGATTGCCTACCGCTAAGACTGTCAATGGGACAATTCAGGCCTGCAGAGTAAGCCCAGCGAGTGCTCGGACCGCCACTGTCGGTGAGCTAGATTCAGGCGTTGAGAGGGAAGTAGCAGTCGCTTGATTTCAAGAGCATTGATAAGTCAGAGAAGTTAGGCTGAGTCACTGGCGCACTGAATCGACTTCCACGTGAATGCGAGCCATCTTGATCTAAGCTTAGTGCTCCCTCACAACGTCCTCATTTTCCGCCGCCTGTGCGGAGAGACGCGTGGGAGTTACTGCGCCGGCAGCCAACGGTGGATGGCTCAAATAAAGTGTAGTCCCTTATTTTGACATCCTTTCTTAACCTTCCAGGCCGATAACCACCTTTTTTGCTTTAAATTATGGGTTAAAACTACGCCACTTTACACGTGAACGACAATAGGCTCTAAATCACGTAGGAAAATGGTTCTGGTTGCCTCACGATATTCATAATATCACAATCAAGATTTATTGTGCAATGACGGT